CTCATCAAAATGGGACACTTATTCTTTGTATACTATTTGTATACGTTTCCAGGGCAGCCTGGGTTCATTTATATGCCATCTCCAACCGCACAAGTATATTACTCAGTTCCGGCTGCCACACCAGCAGCAACTGCAGCTACACCTATCTTCTATTCGCCAGAGATGTACATGCAACCAGCGATAGCGATGACGCCTCAGATAGCTCAGCCGCACACAGTAATTCCAGCTGAAAGTAGGTTTGCCCGTGTCCTAGATCATTTCAAGGCTATTTTGAAAGTCTTGTTAAATATAGTGAGCAAACCCAAGTCGGCTGTTCGTCCACTAAGCACTTCCACCCCACTGCCCACAGAATTCGCGCAAATTCCTCCACAAATGGGTACCCAAATGCAATATCCTGGAAATGTTCCGTTGAAATATCATAGGTTGGTTTGTTAGCCGTAATGAACGTTCTAGAAATGCACACTTCAGGAATGTGGATCATGATGATGTGCTTGCTAACCTTTCTCGAATATCCGTCGTTTCTGAGGAACATGAAATAACAGTTGAAGCAGTTAACGAGAGGGAATATGATGTGAATTTTTGGTGAAAAAGACTGAATTAAGCAATGCTTACTTGTTTAGCGTCCCATCCGCCAGCGACGCCCCGCTCCACCTTCGTCGAATTATAAGACTAAAATGTGCATGACTTATGCGTCTGGAAGACAATGCGATATGGGCAACCGTTGCAAGTTTGCGCATGGGCCAGAAGAACTTCGAACTGCTGAAATTGTACATTTTGATGACTTAAGTAACTTTTCTTTACATTGATTCTCTTCTTCCAGCCACAACGTCCACCAAATTCGCGATATAAGACAAAGCTGTGCAAAAACTTTGGCCCTTATTCATCCAACTATTGCCCTTACGGACTTCGTTGTGAATTTATTCATCCGAGCGACAAGGAATACGCTCTACTTGTAAATTTTAGTGGTTCTTTTTTAAAATATGCGTTTTTTCGTAAGCCTTTAATAATAAGGAGCATCTTTTCTTAGAAATAACTTTAGATAGCAAACGTTTCTTAACTTACGTATTGGATTATGTAGATATAATGTAATATTTTATATAGAGATATTTTTACGCTACATTTATCCACTTTTACACTCTTCAGAATGTTTTTGGAAGTTAGTCTGAAATTAGTCTGGAGACAGGCAGGGACCGAAGCTGTGAGAGCTGACTGAGATTACAATTTCAAAAAGCGATCCCCACTAATCTGCCGTCATGTTACTCATGACGTGATTCATGACTACTTCTTGAGCTAAATCAACTATTTAGAATTGACTTCAATATCGCTTTTATATAGTTGCCAGTTTGAGAAACTCTTACTCTCAGCTCACTATGGTGGTCGGATGGTAACGAGCCTTATGGTTAAAGAAAAGAATGCTGATATCAAAATGTTTGCACAGAGAGAGTAGGGTAATTTGCAGTGTAGGGGCACGAAGGAATGGCTGGGACGCGTAATAACCACGTCCTATCAATAACCTTAGAGAAAGTGAGCTTAGAACTTGAACTCCTAACTCAGATGTACATAAGACTTTGATGGTTGGAAATCAAGACAAATGCTTATGCAACTTGTGCGGTAGAACACTGGTTGATTCAGTGCTCTGGACAAGCTCGCCCAGGACGCAATATGGCAAGTGGTGGAACTTCCCAAAACATGTGTGACGTCACCCCAGAGGCTGTATGCGAGCCACCAGTTGCAGTGACACGTAGCGCTGTTAAACCGGCTGCTGAAAAGATTTTGTTGAAAAATAGGAACATCGCGGGGTACGTTTGTTTCCTTGAATTTTTTTTTATTGTAAAGCTGTTTTGGGAAACAGGGTTGTTTAAAGTTCGGGCTACTTTGATTTTGAATTCTCATTCTGGAAATTCACACTATCTGAGATTTCCGGTTGTAAGTTATTTTGAAATCTAGGCTTCTTCAATTTCGCTTTCACGCTCTTACATAGCAAATTACATACACTTTATGTTTGTTTCGTAGACTGCAAAGTATACGTAACAGTCAACATAAAAAGCAGGACATATTCAATTGACATTATATTGCAATCCATATGCTGACAAACCCTTGTGCACCATTTCCACCGCTCTGGACCGAATAGTGATCATTTCATAGAAGTAATATATAATACTCTAGGTGTTTACCATGCATAAAATTCTAGCCCATAAATCGAATCTAGTAATTGGTATTGTACTATAAAAATAATACATATAGTTTTTCCTTAAAGTTCCTGTTTTTTTTTTCATAAACGTTAACATCGCTTTCTATGCGTCTAATACTAATTCCGTGTCCATCTCCTAAATAGATATTTCCATAAAAATGCTAGTCACTAATGGGTGTTCACATAATTCATTCCTTCTTACTGGTCGTGAAGACAGCTTGAAGGCTTAACAGTGACCGATTAGACATGGTGCTATGATGAATAATTAGCCGATCGTCATGAACGTAAACTCAGCTATCTTCGCAGTCACCTTCAACCCTTAGATCGCAATTTTACCTTTGAAGACGAAGAGCTACTTACGAAGTTCTAGATGCGGCTGCACTATTAGTGAGAAATGCGTATATGAAAAATTTATTAGTATCGGTAATTTCACGGTGATGCCAGACGATCACATTGTAAGCAGCGGGAACAAAAACGGAATCTCGGATGTGCATTTTCGTAGTTGTTGTTGATTTGACTAGGGGAATCAATGATTGATGATGAACATGATCAGTGATTGCGAATG